TTTATCATACATTTCATCTCTACACTCATACACTTCTCTTGCATATCCCCCTTCACACACTTCATCCAAATCTTTTCGGGAGCCCCCTTTAACTTCACCTGTCAAGCTAGATTCAATTATAAGTAATTTAATTATAAACCTGAATCAACGGCCCAAATGAAAATTATATTTTTTAAATAGTAAATTTGAAATTTGTGATCACCATTCCAATTTGTGGTCTCCATGGTCGATGTTAATCACTTTACTTTTTGTTTTAAAGTTACAAAAATATCCCCAGTGTTGTTAGATATTGAACGAGAAAGGGAGTATTATTACTGGCGGTAGGACGTCTTGTGAGTCTGCACGGGTAGGTGCCACCACCCTGCCTATTTCTGCTGTGAAGCAGTAATGCATTTCGGTTCGAAGGGTGGGGCAGCCGTTATACTTTAAAAACTGAGACATTAGAACTCATATCTGAAGGTGGCTGACGGCATTGACATTGTAGATGTCTATGAACTCTGGTAACCACTTAACACCAGGTGGACCGTGAGCTCGTCCAACTGTCTAAGCAATAAAAAAAAGTAAATATACGTATTTAAATTTAGAAAATTAAAGTTGTCCTAAAAAACGGATTAAAATCGATAGAAATGAATCAAATGAAACTAGTCCTTATCACATGTTATGATGACACTTTAAAAATAGACACCTAAATCTTCATTTTCTTATTCTAACCCTTATCCCAGTATGTGGGGACAGCGCTATGTGTCCTTTTTCGCACATCCTTTTTCACACAGTCCACACTCAAATATTATTAGGAATTAAAAATATAACTAAAAATACAATAAATATACCAGAAATATACCATGGACCTCCATGGTTTTTTTTTATTGCTTAGATGGGTGGACGAGCTCACAGCCCACCTGGTGTAAACTGGTTACTGGAGCCCATGGACATCTACAACGTAAATGCACCACCCACCTTGAGATATGAGTTCTAAGATCTCAGTATAGTTACAACGGCTGCCCCAACCTTCAAACCGAAACGCATTACTGCTTCACGGCTGAAATAAGCAGGGTGGTGGTACCTACCCGCGCGGACTCACAAGAGGTCCTTCCACCAGTATAGAGACATGAGAAACTATGCCAATTCCATACGATGAATCATTTAAGCAATAACAACAGACTATAGCGAATGCAATTGTGCCAATAGTTGTATCCGGTCTAACGCAGTTGTCACTCAGAATGGACCTCTATAAATAACAATATTGTGTGAAAAATCTTGTGCATTTTGAATTTTTATCGGTTTTTTTTTGTCAGCTCCTAATCTACTTATCGTGTACAAAATGCCGTTAAAAAAACCAAAAGTTTTTTTTTAAACTTTGATATAAAACGTATTTCTAGAGGCGGAATGTGTGTGGAATTTGATTAAATTTGTATTAGGTTATAAAATACTATTCAAGTAGTCTAATTTTTCCGAAAAGGGGAAATTGCCAGACTTCAGCTCGCGTTTTTTTTATAATTGAAAGATTACTGTTCACCTGGAGGCCTTTCCAGTTTCACCAGAACAGGTGGGCGAGCAAAGACTCAGCCAGGAGGGGTGGGATTTGCTAACAACTGCCCGAGCGCCTCCGAAAGAGACCTAACAACTCAAGAGCACTTGCTTCGCGAATGAATCTACTACCGGATCGGAATCGCGACCCGTTGAGAAGATCCGGCGAGAAACCCAGCGGGCTGATGCATGGGTTAGGTTGCACGTCGACCTCTTTGTCGAGTTCGACGAGTACGGTTACCGGGGTTCTTAAGCCTACTCCAAGTGTTAGAGCTGAAGACATCTATTCCGCTCGCGTGTTGGGGACGTCGAGTACGAGACGGTATGCAGACATCAAACCAACTAAAACCTTCTGTTATTCAGTAAGCAGTCTAAGTCTCGCCAAAGATTGAACTCCATTATGGCAGTTGAGATCCATGTCGAAAGCAGTGTCTACTTATTTATCAGCCTTAGGTTGACTTGTGTACACGCGTATCCACTTAAATATAACCTTTTTTTCCCTACCTAATCCTAGGTAACCTAAGGAGCTGTTCCAACTTCACATGGACCGGTAGGTGAGCTCACGGGAAAGAACTTGCTCACTCAACCTGAGAGAATTGCTAACACTAGCCCTAGCAAGAGCAGTGCTTCGCTGAGTCTACTACCGGATCGGAATCGCGACCCATTGAGAAAATCCGGCGAGAAACCCAGTGGGTTCAAATTATAACCATTTAATATAATTCTCAATAGACAATCGCCCCTCTGTTAAAAACATGTCAGTTTTTTATGGACATGGTCAAAGACAGCGGTATATAGGAAACGCTGCCTTTTTTGACAAAACTTTTAGCCTATAATTTTGACGGTTGATTTATACATTCAATCAAAAAAATATCTAAAAGAGATGATTTTTTATGGTTCCAAGGTCATTTTTTGTTGTTGTTGTTTTTTTTTATTGTTAGATTAACACAACTGTTTCCATTTTGGCACGGATTTTAAGCTGCATATGCTTAGATTAAATACAGTGCTGTTTATAGTTATGTTATATCTAGTGTGTATTACGATTTACATAATGGAAAAAAGCATCAAACAAAGAGCTTGTCTCAAATAATGCATTTCCAATGGAATTGGAAATGGAAAAACACATGCTTATGACTCGTATAAAGCGCTCAGAATCGGTCGAGATTTATATGTCTCAGATTAGCCGTCAAATCTGCTACTGAAGTTAACATCGCAAAAGTGAAGGAAATAGGACTGAAAATTCTTATTCAATTTTGAGATAGATAGCCGCTAAACTTTCTGTGTCTCAGGAGTCGATCCGTATTCGTCCATTTTAAGCAATGACTTGGGTATAATACATGATGCCGTTCGACTAATCCCAATGGAGCGGAATTTTCTCCAAAAAACTCAATCGCATAAGATCGCATAAATCGTTGTGGCCTAAAGGATAAGACATTTGTTTTTTTTTATTGCTTAGATTGGTAGATTGGTAGACGAGCTCACAGCCCACCTGGTGTTAAGTGGTTACTGGAGCCCATAGACATCTACAATGTAAATGCGCCACCCACCTTGAGATATAAGTTCTAAGGGTCTCAGTATAGTTACAACGGCTGCCCACCCTTCAAACCGAAACGCATTACTGCTTCACGGCAGAAATAGGCAGAGATGGTACGTGACAAAAAAGATCTCTGGAAACGCACTGTGGATGACCGCAGTGGCTCCAGGTAGTATGGGTGAACTCTAGTCCGGTGGCGGGTGGTGCGATGGTAAAAACGAGATGCCGGTATCATCTCGAACAATGCCTCAGAACACTCCCCATGGAACATACGGTACAAATACAGAGGGAACCGAAGTCCCTCCGCAGACCCAGAGGTTCCAAGCGATCCGTGAGAATGGGATTATCGACAATCCGAACGGCCCTCCTCTGTATGGAGTCAAATGGAAGAAGCTGGTATTTTCTTATATATGGTATGGTATGGTTCTTCTTTTCTTCCTATTCGTACACCCTTGACAGTGGTCGTGGTCATCCATCAGTCGGATCCTGCGATACCGATGCTCTCGCGATGCGACGCCATGTGGCACGATGTTTCGCAGAGTGAGAGCAATCATTTATGGTTCGAATCGATTGTGATTCTACATCACGCGAAACACTGCTCTAGATAGGGATAGTCTTAGTAAATTCTTTCAAATTGAGCCCGTAGGTTCACTAACCGTCCACGCGTAGCTGGAATAGCCCCTTAGGCTACCACCGAATAGGTAGGACTAAAAACCACTTTTACAGCCTGGTGCGTACTTTTTTCTTTACATTATTTCCAGCGACGATTCGAATATTTTACAGTTTTCGCAGTCACGGATGATGTTATTATTCGTCGAAATTGGAATTTTAATTTACCTATCATCTTTTTTTCTATAAGAAATTGCCTTTTGACTTTTACGTTTCATTTCACGTAGAATTAACCGATAGTATCTTGATGTATTTGTGTTATATAAAAAATACAAAAATTACAAATATATCTGTCTCCTTCGTATATATATTTTTAGGTGTAATTAAAACTAATTTTACGGTTTTACGGAAACGTAAAATAAATTTTAATTATGTCTACGGATCGCAACGCCTTCGGTCTAAATCTTATCTAAATAATAAGTTTCCTGGTGATAGAAAAATTGGAAAATTCAAAAAAAGGTTCTGGAACAAATCTCTTTATGGCAAGGAATCTGTTGAATCTATCAGTTCAATAATCAAAACATCAGAATTTCGGTAGTCACTCTATTTAAATTATGATAATTATATTTTTCTGTTTAGATGCTCCGCACTAAGCTCCTAAACGATTAAATTGATTTTTGTTTTGCCTAGATGTGTGGACGAGCTCACAGTCCAACTGGTGTTATGTGGTTACTGGAACCCATAGACATCTACAATGTAAATGCGCCACACACCTTGAGATATAAGTTCTAAGGTCTCAGTATAGTTACAACGGCTGCCCCACCCTTCAAACCGAAACGCATTACTGCTATTCACGGCGGAAATAAGCAGGGTGGTGGTACCCACCCGCGCGGACTCACAAGAGGTCCTACCACCAGTAAAAAATGTATCAAAAATGTATTGATATAAAAATGACGGCGAATTTTCTCAATGATATAATTCAGTTTTTTTTTAAGATGCTGATTCCTCTGAAAAACAAGTCGCGTCGCGCGAACTAATTAAAAAGTTTGGAGTGTGAAAAATTTGAAGCTGTAATTTTTTGTTGTTTATTTTATGTGATTGTGTATACACTTGATCGTGATCTACCAGATATATACGCACACAATCAAAAACGATAAGCTTAAATAAAAAAATATTACAGTTTCCGCCAATACCATTCACAAAAACCAATTAACATCTTTAACAAAATGAATTATTGTTTAAGTAGTTTCAATTAAACTTTAGATCGTTCAACAAAGATTTAAACTAGAAAGGTAGTAAAAAAGAGAAAAAAAATCCAAATTGACCAACTCACCGTTTTAATATTAGAAACAAAACGACCTTATCACATACAACTCGATTTAGTGCATTAAGCACGGCATCACTATTATCGTTCGATTCTATTTTATATTTGGAGCGTGAGACACACGCGTCTGTCTGCTCCGGCTGCCGGGACCTGACTGATTGTTGCTGGCTGGATATCCTGGAGGTCCCGAAGGGGGAGGGGGGGCGATTGATCTGCCACCGGCTTCCGGCGTCCATGTCCTGAAGCCGCCTACCGCCCTACAATCTCAAACGCCCTACGCATCTACCGGAGTTACAGTCGCGTGGAAATGAGTTGTATATTTGTGTGGCGACGCATGTCTCATCAGAGTTATACTATTGGGGATAATTTCAAAATATTGAATGGGATGGGTAAGATATAAATTTAGTTTAATATGGCTTGTATGGAATTTTTTTTATCTAATAGACCGGTAAAGGATCTCAGAGCTTGTGCGATGTTAATTAATTAGTTACCAGAACCGATATGAATACATGAATACTATTGCACATCTTAAAACATGAGGTCTCAATGGTACAAGCGGAATTAATTACAGCTTCGCGAAAGAAATAGGTATGATAGTCATATTTAACCGTGCGGGCTCACAAAAACCAGTCATTAGACAAAATAATATATTTGCGAGTTTGATTTTTATTAAACGATTCCATTCATTGTCGTTCCGTTATTTTTATGAAAATACCGAAAAAGTATTAAATTAAAAAAAGATAATTTTTTTATTATTTTTGATATTTGTTTTTGAAAATATATAATTTAGTATATCTATACTAATATATAGGTATAAATCTACAGTGGTTTTTACGGATGTTCCGTTATAACTACTGAACCATGCATCCGATTGACTTGAAACTTGGTATCCATGTAGAAAATACACGTACTTAATGGATAGGCTAATATTTATATGAGTGTTGGACTCCCTACACCAGTTGCGGGGGCGTTAATGATAAGAATCTTTGTGGGGGTGAGAAATAATAATGTTAATTTTAAATGCCCAGCGAAGCGGAGGGGTACAGTTAGTTTGTTTATAATATAATAATACAATGTAAATTATTATAGAAATGAAAACGGATAAAGTAAACGAAAAAGTAAAAGTCCTTCTCTATTGCAAGTTTCAATGTAAGTACTGGAGATATATCTCAAAGAGAGTTGAGGTCAGGCAGCCGGCAAGTCGTGAAACTCTTGCCAAATCCCTATGCAGCATGATAAGAAAATACCCCACACTGACCCCACGTAACATGTGACGATGACAAGGACAGTAATAAGATTCCTCGTTCGTGAAATTCTTCTTTAATATTAACATCAAGGGTTCTAGAGGCTTCTGTCCAATTAATCCTTTTTTATTGCTTAGACAACTGTTCGAGCTCACGGCACACCTGGTGTTAAGTGGTTACCGGTGCCCGTAGACGTCACAACGTGAACACTGCCACCTACTGTGTGAGACTGAGGTCTATTGCTTAGTAATATAATAACTTAGTAATAGCGCATATATCGGCGGTAGGCAGTGGTTTGGCTCTACCCTTGGCATTGTTGAAGTCCATGGGCGACGGTTACCACTCACCATCAGGTGGGCCGTATGCTCGTCCGCCTACAAGGGCAATATAAAAAAAAACATAAAATTTTTACGGATTTATTTATTTATCGTATTAATACATTCGTGAACTTTTATTAACTACATATCTCATTAAGAAAATTGGTATCCGTCTGCGGGATTCGAACACCGGCACAGTTGCATCGGTCTATACGAAGGTACCAACCAGGCATCTTATCATTAAGGCCACGACGACTTCAAAAGTGGCTTCCGTGTTTCTGAGAAATATTGGGGGTTCAACGAACCATGCCTAACTCTAAGGGTTTCTTCAAGTATTGAACAGGACGTGACGGCTAACAAGCTAACGCAAATAGAACACTATTGCGTAGGTTGATCCTCCTCTTTCAACGACATCAGTTCGACGAGCGAACACAACCCATAGTCTCGCCGGATCTTCTCAGCGGGTCGCGATTTCGATCCGGTAGTAGATTAATTCGCGAAGCAGCTGCTCTTGAGTTGTTAGGTCTCCCTTGGAGGCGCTCGGGTAGCTATTAGCAGATCCCGCCCCTTCTGGCTGAGCCCTTGCTCGTCCACCTGTCCTTGTGAAACTGGAAAGGCCACCAGTAAGCCCTCAATCATAAAATAAAAAAAAAACACAACCCACTGAGTTTCTCACCGGATTTTCTCAGTGGGTCGCGATTCCGATTCGCTGGTAGATTCTGCGAAACACTGCTCTTGCTAAGGCTAGTGTTAGCAAATCCCTCAGCTTGAGCTCGTGAGCTCACCTACCCGTCCGCGCGTAGTTGGAATAGACGCTTAGGCTACCAGAGGTAGGAAAAAAAAATGACCCCAGAACACGCAGTCTTGACTGTTATTCAGACATGTCCAATTTGTCTCTCCGATAAAGGTTTCGTTCTTTTTCTATTTATCTTATAAAAGAATTAGGTAAGAGAACTTCAAGGTCAACTATCACATGGGCAGAACGCCAGCCAGATGGTCAGATCTAGTAAGAGAAGCACTTGGTGGTACCATGCGGTCCGTGCCACTCATGACCGAATACAGTGGAAGAACATCACATGTGGTCGCGATCCTCCGTAGTGAGGGAACGATATAGAAGAAGAAGAATCACATGACTTTCACGTGCGTTCTATCAACATTCGTGACATTGCTTGTTCGAGAGTTATTATTACAAAAAAATGTGTATTATATAACCAGTTGCCGCCCAACGACGCGTTGTTGTTAATAATAATTAACGTTAATTAATAATGACCTTAACTCCGTAATTGGGATATCCTATTTTCAATTAATAGTTGACGCGACGGGCGCTGTGCAAAGTGGATTATTTGCGAAATAACCGAAAAATTTGTTCGTCCTAGAATTCATGCGTTAAAGTTATTGCTTCGGTTTTTGCGAGTCAAAGACATAATTAAACCGACTTTGACAGTTTTGAAATCGTGAGTTTTCTTGTCATTGATAGTATTATTATTATTATTTATGACGTTTCGTATACCTACTGTACAGGGTTCGTGGTCACGAACGACTGCGTTGTTATTCGTCGATATGTTGATGAATATTATGTCATTTTTACTGGTGGTAGGACCTCTTATGACTCCGCGCGGGTAGGTACCACCACTCTACCTATTTCTGTCGTGAAGCAGTAATGCGTTTCGGTTTGAAGGGTGGGGCAACCGTCGTAACTGCGTGAGACCTTAGAACTTATATCTCAAGATGGGTGACGCATTTATGTTGTGGATGTATATGGGGTCCAGTAACCACTTAACACCAGGTAGACTGTGAGCTCGTCCACCATTCTAAGCAATAAAAAATAAAAAAAACATTACAACGGTAGTCATCTACCGTCTATTTTTTTTTATTAAATCACACAATATATTACAATCATCAAATTCATAGTTAACTTACCTCGCCCAGTAATTTACCTCAACATTTAAAGAAAATTATATAGGCGTGTATGATTCATTAAAACACCGCATATTAATAGTATTCATACATAATTAGGCAAATAATTCACTAAAGAAAAACTGCAATTTTTTTTGTTGCTGTCTATTTTTTTTTTAACAGCTTTGACAGATTGACAAGGTCATTGATGCGCACATTCTTATTTGAACCGCATTGCAACTTTGCAACTAATCTTATCTTACAGTTTGGCAGTTTGTTTGGCTTGAATTTTCAATTTCACGTTAAGAGGATCCCAGGTATGAGAATTTTTTTTCAAGCGGGCGACCGAATCTTCACGAAGTTTCCGGGCCTAGGCGACACGCGGGTTATTTGTGGTATTAGATATAAACAAAGCATCTTCTCTATTAAAGAGGTTAGGGCGTTTTGTTTTAATGTAATATGACAATAAGCGCTAGATTAAACTGTAAAAGTACTTTTAATTGTTTGAATGACTTTGTCAGAAAATAGAATGAAATGTCGGACAATAATGAAATGTGAAAATCGTGGTAAGTACCGTTTAATTAATACTGTGTATTATTAAAAACTGGTAGTTTCTTATATATTTTTCTTTGTTAGCAGAGCCCATAGATAGCCAAATAAAACTTACTTTTAAACCGTGAGGTCGTTAATTTTATGTTTAAATAGTCATTAAATTAGTTTACAGAGCCCCATGAAACAACATGAAATTTGCTCCCACTCCTACTTACGTATAGTCGTACTTATTTTCCAAAAATTGTTCAATGTCATTAGAATAGGATCAGATACAATTACATATATACTGTCAATTAGATAAAAAAAATATATTTTCATTTTTGAAAAGATAAATTTTACAGCGAGCAGCGGCTTGGCTTTGTCGTTGGCATTGTTGACAGCCATGAGCTACGGTAACCATTCACCATCAGGTGCGCCACATGCTCGCTAGCCTGCAAGGTTAATAATAAAAATAATCTACTTATTTTTTATATTATCTATAATAATCTACGTATTTATATTATATTAGCTGACCCGCCAAACTTCGTAGTGTCTAAACCTTTATAAAATAAACTTAAAACAAACAAAAGAAATCCGTCCGACGGCGGACATATCCAAGAAAAACAAAATTGTTATTTTTATGTAATTTCGAGCATTTTCATATTTATCTACCTTTTAAACCTTCTCTGGACTTCCACAAATAATATTCCATAAATAATTCAAGACTAAAATTACTCAAATCGGTCCAGTCGTTCTCGAATTTTAGCGAGACTAACGAACAGCAATGAATTTTTATATATATAGATTTATATATATTTTTAAATAACTTATTCAGATTATACCATTTCTATTCTATTAGCCTACAGAGATCCCCTAAGCCACAAAAATCGGTCCTGCGCTGCCTGCCGACGGATCCCCGCGAACCTCAATAGGTCGTCGGTCCGTTTTACCGGAGGCCTAAATATATTATAATATGTCGGAGAAGCCACAATTATTAACACCATCGTCAGACATCGTGGAGGCGAATACGGTGATCGAGCTAAGAAAAATATTGAGTACACCAATCACGTTTGTTGTCTTAGAACAATTTAGAAATAAATCTTCTCTTGACGTTAGCAAACGAAAATGAATGACAGTTCTTAGGACGGAGGCACCGCTCTTCAAGAAGGCTGGTTGGT